GTAAAAGCAAGAACACGTGAACACACCAGGCTTGGGCACTGCTCCCACAGGAAAGGGAGAAACAACAACTCTTACTTGAGCTCAGACTTCAACTGCTTGATCACTTCAGCCTCCTTCTTTCTTCCATCTTCATGTTTCTCTTTCTCCTTCTCTTTGGACTCTCTCTCCTTCTCTGATTCCTTCTGTTTCTGCTTTTCCCGCTCTCGTTCCTCTTCATCTCACCTGGCCTTCATCTCATTAACATCTTCAGAAGCAGCCTTGGGAACAGTCACTTGGGCATAAGGATCATCAGGCTCCTGCTTGATCTCTGCAGGTTCTTCCTTTGTGTCTTCAGTGCTGGACTGGGACTGGAGGAGATCACTGCCACTACAAGAGCGGATCTGGCATGGAACAGAAAGAGAGATGACCAAGAAAACAAAGATTTAAGTTCTTAGCCAGGAATCTTCCTCACCCCCTTCTCCCTTGTCTTCCCAGATCCATGCTTCCATGCCCTCTTTTCGTGGAGCACTACACAGCTACAAAGGAAGAGCATTCATTTGGTCAAAGGACACAGCAGAGTGCAGCTCCACAGAAAATTTCACTGCATCCTGCACAGTGTATCAGAAAGGTTGATACTGCTGGCAAGGTGACAGCATTCCCCCTTTTCCTAAGCACTTTCCCCTCTTTTCTGGCACTTCCTGCTGTGTTACCTTGCTCAGGTCAGACTGGGCCTCTCTCAGTTTGCGCTTGTATCTCAGCACCTCTCCCTTCAGCTGGTGGTTGTGATTCTGGAGGCTGCTGATGAGGTGACGCATCTCCCGATTAATGGGGCCTGCAAAAACAGAAACACCTCTGCAACAAACCACGCTTCTGTCAACTTTCTTGAGGACTTTCATGGAGATGGAGAACAAGCTAAGTGACAATGACAAACAAAATAAGACTCACCATTCTGCCACATAACAGAGCAACACAAAATACTTGCAGAAAGAAAGTCGTGCCAGTTTTACGCACAACAATAAGTCCTTGCAAATTCACAATCCTTAAGTTCCCACTTAACATTATTTTTATGCCCACGATCCTAAGGGAAATGTGTCATGTTACATAAAAAAATAGGATTTAAATGCTACTTCAGAAGTAATTTATTTCCTCTGATGAAATTTAAGAATTACTGCTTTGATATCTAGATTGTCCTTACACACTTGGAAAGTAATGCAAAATATCCTGCTATAAACCAAATTGTTAGCAAACTGTATCTACTATGCAGCATCTAAGAAGAAGTCAGATAACATGGAACTGGTCTCCCAGTAAAACAGATGAAGAGCTTTGTTTTTTTAGATGAAGTGACCTGCCAGAACAAGTATTTAACAGTAACAAGGAATCAACTCAAGTGTTCTAGCGCACTGTAGCCCCTAATGGGCATTGGTGGGTAGGTGGTGTGTGTTTGTAGGCACAGCAGAACAACACCATACCTGCTTGCTCATTGGCAGCAAGTGTCTCTTCAAACTCTATCCTCAACATCTCATATTCTTTGCGAACTTGTGCCAGGGTGTCCTCCAGCTGAATCACCTCAGTACGCAGCTTCTTGTGAAGGCTGACCTCATCCCTCTGCGGAACAAAAAGGAAACAGAACTTGGTGCTTTGAACCTGGAGTGTCTCTCACCTCATCAGTATCAGGTACCACAAGAGCCCGAATTAGTGCCAGAAATGTCAGTTTCCTGAGCATTTTCAGAGGCACGCAGACCCAGCAGTGCTGGCTGGTGGCACGACAGAGCTCCCAGGCCGAGGGAGCAGAGGTGTTACCTCAATCAGCTCCACCTGGCGCTGGTGTGTGGCACGGGTGCCGTGGAGCAGCGTGCGGGCCTCGTCAAGGTGTGCCTTCAGCTGGAGACTCTCGTTATACAAAACAGAAAACTGGGACTGCATGCAGCGATATTCCGGGGTCTCCTTCACAGTCTCTTCCACTGCCTGTCGCAACTCCACCTGGTAGTGACACAAGAAAATGCCACAAAACCAAAAATTATCCCCTTGCCTTTGCATTTGTTTCATCTCCTTCTGACTCTCCTGGGCCTTCCTGGAGAAAGGGAGACAGACCACAGTGAGAACACAGCAGCAAAGCGACACTGTTAGCCAGCACCACAGCCTGGCAATATTCTCTCATCTCCCACGTAGATATGGAGTCATCCTTGGGTCATTTTATCCTGGTAACACAAAACAGCAGCTGAATACAGGCTGGAAAAGAAACATGTTCAGGCACAAAGGTTGAAATGCAAGAAGTGGGCTGAAGTTGAAATAAGTACCCTAACAGTAAGCTACAACAGAGAAAATGCACATGCAAGTAGGCAATATGTTAGCCTTCTACCAGTAAGATATAATGACAGAAAGAGAAATTTAAAAAAAACCCAGAGATGCAGAACTGAATTCTCCTTATAAAGATATTTAGCAAATGACTGTGACTAGCAGCAGAGAAACAGACACATATATACCTGCATTCAGCTTAAAAGTAATTAGGGGGGAAAAAAAGTTGTAAGCTAAAAACCACTGTGGAGCAGCGTGCGGGCCTCGTCAAGGTGTGCCTTCAGCTGGAGACTCTCGTTATACAAAACAGAAAACTGGGACTGCATGCAGCGATATTCCGGGGTCTCCTTCACAGCCTCTTCCACTGCCCGTCTCAACTCCACCTGGTAGTGACACAAGAAAATGCCACAAAACCAAAAATTATCCCCTTGCCTTTGCATTTCTGTCTCTCAGAACAGTGACTCAAGCTGCCACAAGCAAACACAAAAGGAGAACTTGAATAGCATTGCTGTGAAGGAGGTCCAAGTGACATGCTTCAGTACCAATGTTAAAAAGAGTCTGTGTTCCCTGCATGCACTAGGCTGCTTCTCCTGCACAACCACATGACAGAAGTTTTTGACTCTCGGGTCCTGAAATAGTTTCTCTCAAAGATATGAATTTGGAAAACATAATAAATTGTGAACACCCAGATCAATAAAGATGGACACATAGAAAGTATGACAGAACAGAGAAAATGCACATGCAAGTAGGCATTATGCTAGCCTTCTATCAGTAGGACATAATAACTGACAGAAAGAGAAATGAAAAAAAACCCAGAGGTATAGAACTGAACTCCTAGAAAAAAAAAAAGTTAGCAAATGATTGTGACTAGCAGCAGAGAAACAGACATATATATACATGCATTCAGCTTAAAATTAAGGGGGGAAAAAAACTGTAAGCTAAAGACCACTTCTCTCTAAACAAACTCATGTGGATAAATAGAATTCAGAGGTGCCTCAAGACAGTTCCTAGCATCAGATCTCTGGATGTAGGTTGTTGAGACAGACATTTTTTACAACGGCACTGACCTCTAAGATGAACTTTGGATTATTCTCTCCATCATATACTTATCTACCACAGAGTCACAGCTTCTTATGTTACCACCTTTAAAACATCACAAACTCTTAGGCTGTTTCCTATCTATCCATCCTCCACAGTGGGGAAGACAGACGTTCACTGATTCTTTCAAGAACCTCTCTCCCCACACAAGTTCCCTGATTGTGTTCTCTGGTTTCCACTTGCACAGAGCATGGGGAAAGTGGAAGTGGGTAAAGAGGTGAAACCAGTTTTAACCAGACATGGTTAAAATGGATTCAAAGATCAGAACGGGACACGGACAGGAAACCATTACAATTTCCAACGGTGGCCACACGGTGTCACCAACGCCCTGAGCTGCAAGTGGAGTGACAGACTCGCTGAATTGTACCTGGAGCAAAGCATAACACGGCTAAAGAGCAGGCTCAAAACAGACACTGCCAATGAGGTTTTCTGCAGACACAGCAGTGCAAAGCTGAGGGCAGCCCATCCCACAGAACACCTTCATCCTCACACAGCTGCAGGTGTCTCACCTTGAGCTTTTCATTCTGTGTTGTTACTTCCTCAAGATCCTGACGTAGTTCCTCCAATTCATTAAGGCGATTTCCAGCAAGCTCTTTATTCTCTTCCAGCTCTGCATTCATCTCCTCAAACTGTTGGGATAAACTGCTTGTAAATCCTACTGTTAATGTGTCTCCTGAGAGTGCTAACAACCTATCTGTTCATGCAGTAAGAGCAGTCACAGACTGAGCAGTCAAGTAACTTGACCAAACTGCAATCAAAGGAGTGCTCCAGCCAGCAGATTGCATAGAGCCAACTTTTCCTGCTGTTGCTCCGGAGTAATTTTTCTCTTACTCATCATGTGCTTTTTTACTTTTTGCTGTGCTGACAGACTATTCCATGAACTTTATTAAAACTCAGTCCTGAATTTTATACTGGCCAAATCCCAAGACAGCAAGAAAAATAAGACAAAACTGAAAATGGAGAAAGAGCAGGAAGCTGGTAATATCTGGCAGAATACAGAGGCAGCCACCTCAGCTAATTCAAAGGCTTTTTTGGATTTTAATCTTTTCAATCCCTATGTCCATCTACTCTATAGAGTACCTAAGTGCTCAGAGGTCTAATGCTAAGCAAGACCAGCATTCTTGCGGATCTTGTCAATGTCCCACTGAAGGTCATCAATCATGGTCTCCAGGACAGACACCCGGGATTCCGCTGTCTCCACCCTCTCTTGCAGCTTGGAGAACTGCAATCAAAGGAGTGCTTCAGCCAGCAGATTGCATAGAGCCAACTTTTCCTGCTGTTGCTCCGGAGTAATTTTTCTCTTATTCATCATGTGCTTTTCACCTTCTGCTGTGGTGACACACCATTCCATGAACTGTCCTGAATTTTACACTGGCTAAATCTCAAGACAGCAACAAAATTAAGACAAAACTGAAAATGGAGAAAGAGCAGGAAGCTGGTAATATCTGGCAGAATACAGAGGCAGCCACCTCAGCTAATTCAAAGGCTTTTTTGGATTTTAATTTACTCGCTCCAGGACGTCGGCCAGGTGGCGGTTGAGCCTCTGCTCTCTCTTGCGGATCTTGTCAATGTCCCACTGAAGGTCATCAATCATGGTCTCCAGGACAGACACCCGGGATTCCGCTGTCTCCACCCTCTCTTGCAGCTTGGAGAACTGCAATCAAAGGAGTGCTCCAGCCAGCAGATTGCATAGAGCCAACTTTTCCTGCTGTTGCTCCGGAGTAATTTTTCTCTTACTCATCATGTGCTTTTTTACTTTTTGCTGTGCTGACAGACTATTCCATGAACTTTATTAAAACTCAGTCCTGAATTTTATACTGGCCAAATCCCAAGACAGCAAGAAAAATAAGACAAAACTGAAAATGGAGAAAGAGCAGGAAGCTGGTAATATCTGGCAGAATACAGAGGCAGCCACCTCAGCTAATTCAAAGGCTTTTTTGGATTTTAATCTTTTCAATCCCTATGTCCATCTACTCCTACAGAGCACCTATGTGCTCAGAGGTCTAATGCTAAGCAAGACCAGCATTAACACAATTTTTAAATGAACTGAAATCTCTCATAAAAATGTTGCTAATAATGTGAATACTTTAACAATTGCGATCATCCTGTAACTAATATGATTACACTGTCAAACAACAAGGAATTCAGAATGACAGAGATGTCACCCCAACTGTCTGGAACAGCCACCTGGAACACAGCCACCTCAGCATCACCTGCCCCCAGTTTCTCTGCTCTCCCCCTTTCTTCAAAAGTTAAATCCATTCAGCTCACTGACTTGCTTATATCCTTTCCTTTAGTCATGTAACAAGCAAATCAATCTGATTTATACAGAAAATCTATGTACCACTCTCCACAACAACAACTCTTTTTCATAACTTTCAAACCATGCTCCTCCTGTGCCTCTCCAAGGAAATGAGCTGCCTTCCAATTTATGGGAACCAAATCAATCTGATTTATACAGAAAATCTATGTACCACTTTCCACAACAACAACTGTTTTTGTAACTTTCAAACCGTGCTTCTCCTGTGCCTCTCCAAGGAAATGAGGTATCTTCCAATCTATGGGAACTATAAATTATGCTAAGCAGGACCCTAAAGCAGGTTTCTCTCTCTCTCCTTTTTATACCTCCTGAGACATGACTCTGTGCTTCTCCTGAAGAACATCAGCCAGTTCCTGCAGCCGTCCATTCTCGTGTGACAGGTAGGTATTCAGCCAAACAAATTCATTTTGGAAAATAAATGCACATGAGAAGGACTAGACCTTAATATCTACAAAGAAGGATCAGGTCTAAGGTGAGGGCAGATAAGCGTTCCTGAATACCTGCCACCTTGGTCATACCTCCACTGTTCAGCTTGTGAGACACCACATCCACCTTCTCCTGTAGCTTGTCATACATTGTCACAATCTGGGCAACAGCACGGCGGGAGGACTCCACACGCTCCTGCAGCTGAGATTCTATCTCCTCACTGGTACTGCTGGCTAGAGTGGCCAGGAAGGAGAATGCTGGCTCCAGTCCTTCCCCTGGGAACATGAAGAGATGAAAAAAAGTAAGTGTGCTCTAGAAGGTAGTGTATCACTGCTCTTTACAATCACAAAAAAAAGTCTCTGCCAAGCATTGTCCACAGCTGAAATCCACCTTTCCCACTGTCCCCAGACAGGTGCCTCACCTCGTTCCCTCTCATCTTTGCGCTCCTGATTACTGTCAGAGTCTGGTTCAGGTTCTGGCACCACCAGTGCTTTTCTTTCAGACAAAATGTCTCCAAGACCTTGGTCCAGGTCAAAGTGTTTAAGGATGATGTGGATATTTTCATCAAACTGAATGATGGGACAGGTAAGGCAAGACAAGATAAAGAATGGATGTGAACAAAAGGAGTGCAGTGGTACAGGGGAGAGAAGAAAACAGTGCACATGAAGTAGCAAAAGCTGTTACCAACCTGATTCCAGTAGCGGTTGATGATCAGCAGAGAGGCATCGTCGGTGGCCTGCCGACGCTCCAGCTTCTCAATGTGTTCCCGCAGCTCATCTTCGATGGCCTGGCGCTGGTCGAGCATCTCCGCCAGCTTCCGGTTCTTGGTCTGCAGGGCCCGGATGTCCAGCTCCTCCTGGGCACAGGCACATGGCACACAGGCCAGGTCACAGAAGGGCTGTTCGTGACCCCAGAGACATTTCTGCCTCCAGATGAAATAACCAAAAGGTGAACTGGGGATATGCAAGGAAGACATACCACTGAAGAAACACCACCAAGTTTAATGGTCTCCACAGTGGTGCCCGAATCTTCAACCCCTGCCTTCTTCTCTGGACGTGCAGAAGGGCCAGGCTCTCCAGCTGTCCGTTTATTGCCAATCCCAGACATGGTGGCTGAAGTGTACAGATTCCCACCTTCTCCAACCTCTTCCTGAACATTAAAGAACACTATTAAAAAAACATCCATGCAGTCAATTTGATTTGGGTTTTTCAATGAGCTGACCCATCAGAGTAGCAAAATGCTCAAAACAGCAAAGATCATGGGACCAGAAAGATTTTGAAAAATATTTGTTGGGAGGAATGGATTAAAAGTGGAAGACTGGTAAGGAAGACTGTAAATCACTCAAGTGACCTTGCAGCTGGGCAGTGATCCCAAGGCAGCGATTCTCTGGCACAGGCTGAGTTTAAGGGAGACCACATCTCTAATACTGCACCTCTGCCCAGGTGTTGCTTTGGGGACCCCGCAAGGAGCAAGGTAACAGAAACAAATCTATTCCTTGTGCTCTAACTGGGAGTTTGTGCCAGCCTGTGCTGACTCACACTCTGGTCCAACATTAGCAGTAAAAGACAACAGCAGGATCTGCACTGCAAGCAAAAAGTTCATGGGGAAAATATCCACTCTGTAACATATATGTAAGATAATATGCTCTGTAACATTAAAATAGAAGCACTGTACCTCATCACCCTCTTTGCAAAAAAAATCTTCATTCTCCAGAGGTTCACTCTCTGCTTTTCTGCATTAACAGAAATGAACCAGGTTAGACTTTGGCAAACAACTGAGACAGTGTATATGTGCACCAGTTCACTGCACAACAAACTGTTCCTATCGAGCCTACACACAAAGCCAGTCAAAGCTGAGGGCAGCAACATCCTGGAAATAAATGAGCCCTGTACGTAGAGAGCTCACAAATCCTACGGAACTGAAAAGCAACTCGATGCCAAGGCTTGTAAAGACCCATTTCAAGAGTTTTGCTGTGTACCAGGAGAGATGCCAACATGTTTGAAGAGAACCTGTTCCTAACTCAAAGCAGTCTGGACTAATAGAGAATCACAGAACAGCTGGGGCTGCAAGGGAGGACTGGACGTCACTGGCCCTGTGCTCCTGCATGAAGCAGGCTCAGCCAAAGCAGGCTGCCAAGGGCCCTGTCCAGGCAGCCTGAGCATCTCCAGGCACAGAAACCCAGCCATGGCTCTGGGCAGCCTCTCTAGTGCTTGATCATCCTCAACATTAAAACAGGCTTTTCTCGTGTCTGAACAGTATTTCCTGTAGTTCTCTAAAATATTTTTGAGCAAAATTACAAGTGTATTCTCAAAAGATTTCCAACAGAAATGGAACAGTTGGAGATAAAAAACGGAACTAATCAGATCTTCACTAGATGTGAGCCGCATTCTTCTCCCACAGCCACTGAGGCTGTGTCAGACTGAATGAAACAAGAAGTGAATAAATTGCAGACCATACAAGTAAAACCTGACTTCCATTTAATCCTATAATGGCATTTACAGTCAAACCAGGGGTTAGAAACTGAACCTTCCAGTTCTTATCTGCTTTAATTGAGCAGTTCTACTGAAAGTAACAAGGCTATTGCCATTTGAAGATGAAGCTGGTACATTCCTTTGCCAAATCTCAGCATTTCAAGAGCATCTCAGCTCAACACTGCCCTTCATTGTATGTAAAATAGTGTAAAGATTATTTCTAAGTGAGTTACTGAAACAGCACATATGGGGATCCTGTGAGGTATCTTTTAACAGAAACATTAAATTACATCTCAAATTTATCAAGAAAGAGAACTGCCACTGAACCATCTTACTTCTCTTAGCAGCAGCACTGACTTTAGCTGGAATTCTGAGAGCACTGGAAGGGAACAGCTGTCACTAAAAAACATCACATCTGTCCCCTGTCAGTCCAGCAAGCCACCACTGTTCACTGCCTTTCACACTTTTTGTCCCGGGACAACATATCCCTTCCACTGCGTCCTGGCACCATTCCCCTCAGCTCCATCTCCCCTCTCACCACGTCCTCACACACTGTACACCAGACCCCAAACCATCAATTTTGTATGGCCACAGACCCTCTCTTTCACAGAATCAGAGAATCATTTAAAATGGGAAAAACTTCTGAGATCGAGTCCAACCTATGAACCAACATCACCCTGTCAGCCATACCATGGCACTGGGTGCCACGTCCAGCCAGGGACACGAACTCCAGCACCTCCCTGGTGGGCAGCCCCTTCCAGTGCCTGAGAATCCTTTCTGCTGCTCACACACAGAAGAGGTAAAGAACTCTAAGCATGAATATACACTTCTTTGAATGTCATATTTATTTCCTTTTTGACACAGAACAGCTGATCTGCTCTGCTAACAGATTAAGTTTTACTTACTCATTCTGTATTTACTTTAAAAAAAGGTGGATTTCTGATGACAAGCCCTACCGATTGAAACTTAAATTAGATTTTCTCTTTTTATTTACTACCATTTTACAACTAAATCTGAAACCTTTATTACATCTGCCACCACCTGATGTTCCTGCTACAGTACAGAAACTACACTGTACAAATACAAACCTGAATTTATGTACAGATACAGAACAACTGGAATAAAAGCACTGGACAGATTTAAAAACTGCTATTTGAGTTTATACTTCCCAGCAGGAACTCCAGTCAAACGATGACCCATCCACAAGCCTAATAGGGATTTTTCCATGGCTTCAGGTCAGGCTCAGCAGGAATACTTTAAGCATTGGAAGAAAAAGGGGAAAAGTCCCAACCCTCTGCTCTGCCTGGCCCTAGCATGGCATGGATGGCATTCTGTGTCCAGTTCTGGACTCCTCAGTACAAAGACAAGGAGCTGATGGAGAGGATTCAGTGGCAGCCATAAAGATGATGAGGACTCTGGAGCATCTCTCTTATAAAAAGAGGCTGTGATATCTGGGCCAGATTAGTCTGGAGAATACTGGGAGGGGGATCTCATTAATGCACATAATTATTTCCAAGGTGAGTGCCAAGAGGGTGGTCCAGACTCTTCAGTGCTACCCACCAACAGGATGAGGAGCCGTGGCTATACCCTAAAACCCAAGAAGTTCCACCTCAACATGAGGAAAAACAATGAGGGTGGCAGAGCACTGCAACAGCTTCCCACGGACGTCGTGGACTCTCCCCCTTTGGAGACATCCCAAACCCACCTGGATGTGTTCCTCTGTCACCTGCTCCAGGTGACTCTGTCTTGGCAGGGAGGCTGGACAGGGTGACCTCAACCCGACCGATTCTGAATCAATTCTGTGGGTCAGTTTCCCACACGCACCAGCCGCTCCCACACCTCCTCCGCTCTCCCACATCCCGCGGGGGTCCTGCCCCTGTCCCCGGCATCTTCCCACAGCGCCAGCCGGACACGCCGCGGGCCCGTCTCTCCCTCCGCGGGTGTGCGCTACCTCCAGGTCCCAGTGACCCCTGCGTCCTCCACACGGCCAGCTCCCGGATCTCCCTGGCCCCAGGCCGCCCCACAGACCCACCGCGGCCGCCTCGTCGCTGCTGTTGCTACCGCTTACTCCGCCGCCGCCGCCGCGCCGCGCCCCGTCCCGCCGGCAATGGCCGGCAATGGCCGCCACCGGCCGCCCCTTCCGGCCGCCATTTCGCCCTCACCCGTCATGGAGGCGCCGCTTTGCCCTCGCCCGACATGGCGGGGCTGCAGCTGCGCCAGACGCCGGCGGCCTCACCCGCACCAAAGATGGCGGTGCGGGCGGAGCCGCCCCAGCACACGCGGCGCCGGCGGAGTGGCCGCCTCCCTGCCCGCCCCTAGATGGAGCCGTGTCCCGGCCGGACGGGGCGGGAAGGGCGGTGGGGGTGCTTGATGTGGGCTAAACGTTCTGTACCTGCCGTAGTGTGGCAGCAGGGTCGGAGCAGTGATTGTCCCCCTGCATTCGGCACTGGAGAGGCCACGCCCTTGCTGCCCTCCAATAGCGAGGGTGTTCTGCTTTCGTCCCTGTTCTTCGAAGATTAATTGTGTGAAGCCGCTCCCACACCTCCTCCACTCTCCCACATCCCGCAGGAGTCCTGCTCCTGTCCCTGCCATCTTCCCACAGCACCAGCTGTACACGCCATGGGCCTGTCCCTCCTTCCGCAGGTGTGCGCTGCCTCCAGCCCCCAGCGATCCCTGCATCCTCCACATGGCCATCTCCCGGCTCTCCCTGGCCCCAGGCTGCCCCACAGACCCACCATCACCCTGTCCAGCCGCCCTTTTGCCCCCACCCGTCAGGGGAGCGCTGCCTTGCCCTCACCCGATGCTGGTGCCGGCACTCACACCAAAGATGGCGGCACGGGCAAAGCCGCCCCTGCCCACACGCGGCCCCAGCAGAGCAGCCGCCTCCCTGCCGCCCCCTGATGGAGCCGTGTCCCGGCCAGACGGAACCCGTCGGAGGGTGTGTCGGAGATGGTGAATATGGACAACACGTTCTGTGCCAGGCATGGTGTGGCTGCAGGGCCAGGGCAGTGATTGGCGCCCTGCGTCCAGCACTGGGGAGACCACGCCTCGAGTGCTGTGTCCAGTTCTGGGCCCCACAATTCAGGAAGGACACTGAGGGGCTGGAGGGTGTCCAAAAGAATGTCTTCAAGTCTCTTCATCATTTCCCCTTCTCCCATTTGACCTGTCTGCTTGGAAGTGAGGAGCTTTTTGCAACCCCAAACAAAATAAGGAAGCTATTTAGACTAAGACCTTTTTCCTGACTATGGGCTATGCAGAACAAAGAGTGATTTTGCTTTCACTGAACAAAGAGCAAGACTTTCTGATGGGATTCGTCAGTTTCGACTTTCTGAAAGTTCCTGCGCTTGCCTTGCTGGTTAGGGGTTGTGCTGCAAAGCAAAGGCAGAAGGATGATTGCAGCCAAAGAAAGAGGGGGTCTTCACCTCGCCCTGCCGTGCGGAGCCGGGCCAGCCCCGGGAGCCGCCCCGCCCGCGCTGTGCCCGCAGCCCCGGCTCTGCCGCGCTCTGCTGCGCGAGCGCAGCGCCCCCCTCAGGCC